AGTCAGATTAGTGACATTTCTCTCTAGAAGAGCCCCAAGCTCTAGATGAGGCAAAGCGGTGAGAGAGCTCGTTGTTTTCCAAGCCATCTAAATTTGCCACAGATTGTACCTTGTGGAAAGTAATAAGTATACTAAGTGGCCGTGTGGCTCTGCTATAGTTAATAGGCTAACGGGGAACAGTGGAACCAGTGGGAACACTTCTTAGCATGCAGCAAGCAGTCTGTGGCAGCGCAAGTCTCACCAAGCTTTTGCAGTAAGACACATGCACAATTGAATGTTGCCAGATTATGAAGTGGGCACCCGAATAAGGATCATAATGAATCAAATATACTGATTTTGTTTTCAGATTTTATTTCAGATGGCTTGTCACAATTTCCCAGGAATCTAAGAGGAATGTTTACAAAATAGACTTTTGTCGGTAGATCAAGATGGGTAGCCATGCTAGTCTGTAGCGGTAGAAAAGAAAGAGGCCAGTAGCACCTGAAAGACTAACAAAATTTGTGGGAATTTGTGAGCTTTCGCGAGTCACTGAAGTGAGTATCTGAAGAAGTGAGCAGCGACTCACGAAAGCTCATACCCTGCCACAGATTTTGTTCACCTTTGGCCCCGGTCACATGAGCAGGAAAATCCACACTGGAAGGGAGGCATTTTAGTGGCGGAGCTAAAAGAAGCACGGGAACGCGATCTTACGCTCCCCCGTGGCTTTGTTCTCCCTCCTTCGGCACCCGATCACACTGGGGAGGCAACGGTGTAGTCCCAGCGAGGCAACATGGTGGTCCCGCATTAGTGCACATGCATGGGTCGCGGACGGCTGCAGGATGCTATGGGCTGCCAGAGCGTCCGCGATCCCACGGCCACTGTTGCTGCGGATCTTCCGGTAGGTACTCCATTTTCCCTAGTACTTTTTCGATCCGCATTTTCAGCCAGATGTGATGGGTTAGAGGTGGGTGCACGACGCTTGCCAGATGTTGGTGTCTGATCGCACCAGTTTGATCCGCCCTTAATCCGTCCCCTCCGCATACCTAATTCTCCGTGTGATTGGGGCCTTTGATTTCTCCCAAAGTTTTGGCGTCCTCCATTGTCACAAATACATTTTTGGAGTAAAACATGTGCTATCAGAGATACAGCTGTATTGTGGTATCACGGTGTACCTATGTTTTTGGAATACATATGCAAAAATAAGTATAAATATAATAAGCCCCTGCAAAATTAACCCTTTTAGATGCACAAAGAGTTAGGGTGTCGTGGGTACTGGTTCGGCTGAGGCTGACCCCTCCTCAGATGAGGAAGAGGCAGGGAGCAACTCAGCCTCTGCTGGAGTCAGCCCAGAAGAAGAACCCTCAACAGTCCCTGAGGAGGAAGAGCCCCCAGCAGCTGCACAGGAGGTGCAGCCAGAAGGAGAGACCGATTCTGAGCCTGGGCCAGCACCCCCAGCTGCAGACACCCTGAGGCCAGACTCCCCACCTAGTTCTCCTGAGTGCCCCAGACGTAGGGCACGCCAGAGGCTGACTATGCAGGAGCAAAGAAGGAGTGCCAGGCTGCAGCTCCTGCAAAGGCAATGGGAGGAGTTGTAAGCCTTTGCAGACTCAACTCCCAGGGAAGGAAGGACCTGTTCAAAAACCCTCCATGCACCTGCTTCAGCACAGCAGCAACTCTGCGTCATCAGACCTGCTTCTGAGTGTGCAGCAGCCGCTCCTTTTCCTTGGAAACTTGCAATCTTGACAGCACATAGGGTTTCTGAGACAGCATGATCACATCCTTCTGCAATATAGAAACAGACAGAGAAAAACCCTTAGTAAAGTAGCCCTCTATATGCCAAACATATTTTAAAAGAATTAAAAATGTGGTTTTCAGGATACAGATATTTGTTTTTATTTCATTTATTTTTTGGGTAATTTTGTGTTTAGGCTGCAAGACACAATGCCGTTGTTTTGTTGCACTACGTAAAGCAAAAAAATTTCATTTCTGAAAATACTTTTTTTGGTAATTTTAATAGCATTTATAAATATGAAAGGAATAAACCTTTTTTCTTACATGAAATCTGTTATCTCCTACCTAAAATTTTACTATTTTTCTGGAAGACGACCAGAGCAGACACCATCAAATAGAACTAGGAATGTGCACTTGGATATATACCCCCCAAAATCCCTTACTGGTATTTTGGGGGTATATTCGGATAACCGGAGAGGTATTCAGGGTGCTTTGGAATATCATCTCTGGGTACCATATATTCCTGCAAATAGCTGGGAATAACTGGAGTCAGCATTTTAAGGATCCCAGGCCTGCCCTCCCCCAACAGGTTGCCTTGCCAATAGGAGGTAGGAGGAAGAAGAAGAGGAAGAAGAGATTTATACCCCACCCTTCACTACCCAAAGGTGTCTCAGAGCGGCTTACAAACTCCTTTCCCTTCCCCTCCCCACAACAGACACCCTGTGGGGTAGGTGGGGCTGAGAGAGCTCTTGACAGAAACTGCTCTTTTTCAAGAACAGCTCTTATCAGAACTACGGCTTGCCCAAGGTCATCCAGCCAGGTGCAAGTGGAGGAGTGGGGAATCAAACCCGGTTCTCCCAGATTAGAGTCCGCGCACTTAACCCAGCCCAACCCAAGGAAGGTGGCTCCTGGTCAGTTGAGTCTTTCCTGGACTGGGGAAGGCAGCTCCTGGCCTAGCTAAGCCAGGCTCAGGGCCAAGTAGAGACGCGGGTCTGGTTGGTTCATTCTCCCTTCCGTTTGTGGGTGGGGCCCTGTTTCGAGGCTGTTTTTTTCCCTTCCAGACCCTACCCCTGCAAGTAGGATGGCAGGGGCACCTTGTTCAGAGGCCATAGAATTGGACCTATTGGTCCAATTCATGTGGAATTCATAGGGTCATTAGCAGCCAGACAGCACTGGAGCCCCTGCAATCTCAGTGGGTGATTTCCCACAAGCGCTGCTCCACGCTCACTCTTCCCTTTGCCTCGATGGTATGTGTCAATTTCACACAAGCTGCTGCACGGCCGCATTTTGCCCTGCAGCTTCGCGTGATTCCCCCCGCGTCTACTCAATTCTGTTTTTTGAGGATCGAGTAGATGTGGGGGAAATCGCGCGAAGGTGCGGGGCAAAATGCAGCCACGCAGCAGCTTGTGTGAAATTGACACATCCCATGGGGGCAAAGGGAGGAGTGAGCACAGAGCAGCGCTTGTGGGAAATCACCCAGTGTTATTTGGTTGTACAACAGCCACTCCAGTCCCCCTGAAAAACGTCCCCTGTAGGAACTGGAATAATCCTTGAATCCCAGAAACCCCTGAACTTGAATCTCAAAACATTATTGGGCCCCCTGGATACCATCACAGAATTTATATAAAAAAATATGCCCCCCTCCCCGGGTGCACATCCCTGAATAGAACCACAGAGTATTAACAGAATGAAACTAGGGCCCCGGTCACACGGGCGGGATATCGTGGGGGGGAGGCATGGCTAATTGCCCCGGAGGAAACTAATGCGCAACCGCCCGAGCACACGTCCCGGTCGAGGTACCGTGGTCTGGGGAAAATGCCGATCAGACGGGTATCCTGCAGCGTGGCACAGAAGCCACGCCGCGCAATCGCACTAGCAATTACTCTTTGTGCGCATGTGCTGTTGGGTGCTGTTGCGCAACCTGCAGAGACGAACAGCTGCAGGCGCCAGATGCCACATAAGTCCACCGGGAACGCGATCAGACGCCCGCCCTTGGCCCGTGGTTTCAGGAAACTAGTACCTCATAGGTACTAATTTTTAACTCCGCACCTTCGGCAGGGAGCCACGGGTTCGCCACGGGAGCACTGTGTTTCCCAGATGTTGGGGTGAGATCGTGCCCGGAAAATCCACGGGACTCCCGTGCCTCTCCCTCGGCAACTTTGCCGTGTGACCGGGGCCTAGGATGATTTGCTCATCCCTGTGATTTGATGAAGTTTTAGAAACTATGTCACAAATGGGTTGTCGAACTGAATGACTTTTGCAAAGTCTTGTCAGCTTCATCTGGGACTGAGTAAAACTAAACCAGCCTTACAGGGCAGGATTGCAAGAGGTCAGGTGTACAACGTAGCAAATAACAGTTGCAGGCAGGTAGTTGGCAGGATGCATGCTTGTGATTTGTACAGAACGGCAGCTACAGGCCTAAATAGGTAAGAAGCAGGTGATGCAGAGCTAGGTCTTTCTACCATTAGCAAATTACTACGATTATTGAACCAAGGAGATGCAGATCTTTATATAGTCCCAGTTCTAAGCCCATGCTGGGCCGAGCCAAAACTGTAGTTCCAAGTATGGCCACTCACATTAGCTGTAGATTGTTCCACTTGCATGTTTGTGTCTGTGGTGGTACAGGGAGTAAGAAGCTGGGGGCCTGGTTTCCCAGAGTTGTCTGTTGGAGACCCCCCAGTGCCTTACTCATCTTAACCATATATTTTTCTATATCTCGTCTGAATTCTGTCCCACTTCAACTGTGTTGGCTATAAATCTTAAATAGTAGGTAAAGTCATATCTTGTCTATGTTTTATATGTGGATTTAGAAGACTTTTCTAGGATTATGTTTTTGTAAAAGCAGAGAAACATGTTTTCAGTGCCTGTAGTGTTACTTTGTAGTCACTGGAAACGGGCATAGATGTCTCAATTAGTTTGCCATCCAAAGATAAGCAAAGGTCTGAGTGGTACAAGGGGTACCCCGCGCCTTCAGTTGTGGGAGGTCAGATGCGTGGCATAGATCTCTGATTTGTGAAAACAAAGTATGTTAACCACATAGGCCTTCAGGGTAGATTTTTAAAATGTATGATCTGGTTTTTTATTTATTTACTTAATTAGTAAAATTAAAGGTGTCTGGCTTTGTGATTACTTAGTGAAAGGGACTCTGCATGTGTTTGGAAACATTGTTGTCTTGATCACACTGTCTAGGGCTGAAGCGCAGTATTGAAAAAAGGCTCCAAAACTGTAGTAATGGGTACCATTAAGCATATGTCGGTCTCCTTTATTGAAATGTGTCTTCTTTGATTCAGGAGGAATGCCAGAACTATGTCCGTGTCCTGATTGTTTATGGCAAGAAGGTTTTCACCTGTGGTACGAATGCCTTTTCACCCGTGTGCTCCAGTAGACAGGTAGGTTGTTTTGCTCAGATTTCGGAATGAATCAGAGTTGAATGAAATGGGGTCACAGAAGAAAAACTTATGAAGATCATATTTAATTTTTTTTAAAAATATCCTCCATCATCCATGAAAAACCTCTGAGGTTTATTTAGAATAATCAGAGTAGAAACGGTCAACCAAAGGAAAGTGGTACAAAGGAAGAGATGTAATGATGTGCCGGGGACATTTATGGTATATGAAGACTAGCATCGACTTTGACAGCTAGAATGTAAACCTTATATAGGTAAGAAGAGCTGGTTTATATACTGAATAAAATTAAGATTTATTCCAGCCTCTAACTGTTGATTCTGACTGCCAGTGACTTGGGACGCTCTCTGTCTTACTGTCTGAGACTGTTAGCTTCAGAACAGGCTGCCTGTTTTTGACCTGCGATGCCCAAGGGATCAGTAATATGCTAGCAGAATGTTTTGTGGCAAAATGGCACCAATGAACTCATAGACAAAATGGCTTCCAGAGAGGGGGACAGTCAGGCCATTTTTTGCCCTAAATGGTCAGAGCTCTGTCCCTATGCATTTAGATCGCTTCGTACTGCATTGTATATGGGTTGCTGCTATGACATAGAGCAGTGATGGCGAACCTTTGAGAGACCGAGTGCCCAAACTGCGACCCAAAACCCACTTATTTATCGCAAAGTGCCAACACGGCAATTTAACCTGAATACTGAGGTTTTTCTTTAGAAACTTTATTTCTACATTAACTTAAGACGATCCAAACAAAGTAAGGAAAGCAACCCCAAATGCTTTCATTTACTTAAAATTATTTGGCAGAGAATTTGACACTTTAATGATGGTCTGGGCCTGGCTGGGGTGATGGCACGCGTGCCCACAGAGAGGGCTCTGAGTGCCACCTCTGGCACCCGTGCCATAGGTTCGCCACCACTGACATAGAGGATGACAGCTACTTACAACTGGCGGCTAGGCATCTGGCAAATGGCAAGGGTGTTCAAATTGGCAAATTGCAAAGGCCACACACTGGATTTGATCTTTGGTTAGGGTTGCCAAGTCCCCTGGGAGGCGGTGAAAACCCCGCCCCCAAAGTGCCAGACATGCCTGGTGCGATAACGCCACCCGGAGGTGACATCATCACGTCGGGCACGTTGCGGGGGGACGCTCTATCATTTGAGGGAAAACTCTGTGGTTTTCCCTCGAATGATTGTGGCCCCACCCCCAAGAAAACTCCCGGCAGGGTCCTGGACTCTCCCCGCTAAAGCCAAGGTAAGACTTGGCAACCCTATCTTTGGTATAGGGTTGGATGTTGATCTGACTTCGAAGGAGAATGTGCCATGGTCAGACCATCTGATTTCTGAAGGCTCAGCTGGATATTCCGATCCCCCCCCTGTCTAGGCGGCAAGCTAATTTATGCTTGCCCGTGGAAACTAATGGACAAATTGGGTTCCAGAATGCTCTGTAGGATCTGATGCCTTCTGGCGACTCATTGGATGAGCTGATAGAAGACTGGAAGTCCCGTCTTCTTGAAGCCATCGGTGTAGTTGCTCCCTGACGTCCTCTCTGCTCCCATCAAAGGTCATCCCCCTGATATTCTATGGAACTCGGGGAGATGAAACGAGAACTCAGATGACTTGAGCAAGCTTGGCGGCACGCTTGCAACGAAGCTTCAAGAGCATCTTCTAGGACGCTTATGAAATCCCATGAGGTGGTGGTGAAGGCTGCAAAGAGAGAATTCTACTCAGCCTCGATCACTAGCTCACACCCAGCACAATTGTTTAGGGTAATTAAATCTTTGACTTCCTCATGGAAAGAAACCAAAAAAAGTAGTAATTCGGCCATTAGCTGTGAGGCATTTGCAAGCTTTTTTTGCAGACAAAAATCTTGTCTCTCCGCTGCGACCTACCTGCCAATGTTGACATGGTAAATGAACTGGAGGCCCCCTGGCTGCCTTTGGATTTGGTTTTTGACAACTTCAGCCTGCTCTCCTCTGCTCATGTTGACAGGATCCTGTGTGCTGTTAGGCCATCCATATGCCTCTTAGATCTGTGTCCCTCATGGCTGGTGAAAGCTGATGATGAGGGGATATGGGGCCCACTGATAGACAGGGGTGTATCCAGAGGGTCTAAAAGAGGCTGTGGTAGTAACGCTTTTGAAGAAGACATCTTTGGGTCCTAGTGATCCTACCAATTACTGCCCGGTTTTGAATCAGTTGTTTCTGGGTAAGGTTTCTGAGCACTACAGATAAGGTTAGAATTTCAGCAGCCAATCCACATACAAAAGAACCTCCTCAGGAAACAGGAAACCTCCTCAGGAAACAATCTATATGCAAAAGAACCTCCTCAGGAAAGCGCCTCCATTAGCATGTTCATAGCCTGGGGGACTCCTACAAGATAATGACTCAGCCCTACCCCGCCTTCTGGAGTAGATATAAATTACCTGCCTACCATTTTTCTTCTCACCTCGACACAGAGAGTACTCCATCTTTCTGCGTTATACCTCTGAGGATGCCAGTCACAGCTACTGGCGAAACGTCAGGTTCTACAATGCCAAGACCACGGCCACACAACCCAGAAAATCTACAGCAACTAATAGAGAGTTGCGTAAGGATGGCGTTCCCTGGGTCCTTGGTGCCATGGACCTAGCTCTTGGTGTGCTTAGTTTCATGGGTATTGGTTTAATCTACAGGCACGTAGGGATGTTACATTATGCACAAATGTATTTCTTGGCCAAATGTGCTATGTCAAACAACTGTCTTTACTGTTTCCCTTTCTGTTCATCCACCACCTTTTAAATACAGGTAGGAAATCTTAGCAAAATAATTGAGAAAATAAACGGGGTCGCTCGCTGCCCCTATGACCCTCGGCACAATTCAACAGCCGTGATCACATCACAGGGAGAGCTATATGCTGCAACTGTCATTGATTTCTCTGGACGGGATCCTGCTATTTACCGCAGTCTTGGAAATGTCCCACCTCTTAGAACAGCACAATACAACTCCAAGTGGCTCAATGGTAAGAATGCTCTAAGAAATAAGATCACTGACACTGGCCAGACGGTCTTAGGCAACTGCTCTTGCTTCATAATGAAGATCTGACATGATATGGGAGAGGGGTTTGTTGCAGAAGTGGGTGGGACATTAAGGAGATGTAAGCAATAAAGTGGGTGATTTCATCAATTTCTGGGGGGAACGTGGTACAGCTGTGACGACTGGTTAAATCTCTCTCCTGTCTGCCAGTTCTCACAATAAAGACCCATAATGCAGTTAGTCCATTTTCAGGTATGTTCATTGGAAACCTATTCCATTTTATCTGTGATAGGATTTTCCTCTGAAAAAGAGTTCCTATTCCTTTAAAAGCTGTATGGGCTATAGTGACATTACATTTCAAGGCACAGCCATATGCTATGATTATTTGGGTTGACAATTAATTCAATATAGGCTGCGGTCACACGGAACATTAGCCACCCACGCTAGAGAGACGGAAGATAGGTGGAGTTTCCAGGTGAGATCTCAACAGCACATCTGGGAAGCGCAGCGCTCCCGTTGCTCAACCGAGGCTTCCCGCCGAAGACGCGTGGCAAAAAACTAGTACCTTGGAGGTACTAGTTTCCGGAAACCGCGGGGCAAGGGCGGGCGCCTGATCGCATTTCTGGTGGAATCCCGTGGCATCCGGCGCTCGCCCATGTCCCGTCGCAAAGAAGGTGTGTTTTTTTAAAAGTCTCCACAGGATGCGCACAAGCACCCAATGGCGCAAGCACATACTTGGGTAAAAAAAACCAAAACCCTGTTTGCCACGGCAGCGCCGCTTCTTTGCCATGCCGTCTGATCGGCACCTCCCCGGGCTCCCCACCACCATCACCGGACGTCGGCGGGACGTGTGATCCCGTGGCCGCGCAGTAGTTTGCTCCGGGGCAAACAGCCACGCCTCCCCCCTGCGATATCCGGCCCGTGTGACCGGGGCCATTAAGATTTTTATTGTAGCATGGAAGTTAATTTTTATGTTTTAGGCACAATGACGAATTGCACGATCAGTATATGAAATAAGGATTTATGGTACATTAGGCCTGTATTCCTCCCACCATAGTGCCATAGTGATCCAGCAGTTCTTCACCTCCCTGTCTCCCTCTCAGTCTTGTCTCCCACAATAGGGAGCCAAATAATCAAAGCCTTTAGTAGGCAGGCAAGAGGAGAGAACAGTTGACCCATTGCCACTTTTGACCTGTTGGGCTACCATCGCATGGTCATGTGGGAATTCAGTCCTGCGAAGATTCCGCTTGTCATGGACTCCTTTGAGAAATTAAAGTCTCTTCCCTGGGAAAAAGTGGCACACCCACTGCAATAAAGTTTTCCCCTTGAATCGGAAGCAGCCAGAACACTCCCCCCACCTCCCATCATGCAACTAGCATTTACCTAGAATTCTCAGTTATTTGAATTTTCTAGATGGCTGCAATGCACCCAGTCTTTGTGGGACAGATTAGACTAAGCATTCAACACAATTGTGGTTCTTTTTATTTGAATTAATAATTAGCCACTTTTTAGCTCTTCCTCGGGTTCTTCAGATTAATGAGATTATGCTTCTCTTTATTTGGGTGAATATTGTATTTTGAGTTTAGATGTCTTGTTTCTGAGAATTTTGACATTAACTTACTTCAGCATCTTTGACTGTGATCAGAAGTGGATGCATGGTCCGTGTGACATAGGCTTGCCAAGTCCCCCCGGGGGGCGGGGAAACCCCCCCCCCCAGAAGCCCGTTCCCCGCCGCCACCAGATCGGGCCCCGGGGGAACTCCACCCCGACGTGCACGTCACCAGGAAGTGACGCGACCATGCGGGGCACACTGGGGGCGGGGCCACAGTCATCCGAGGAAAAACTCGTCGAGGGAAAAGTGTCGTCACGTCACTTCCTGGTGATGTGGATGCAGCGCGCGCGTGTGCGCGCTCCGAAATCAACCTGGGAGTCCCCCGCTCCAGAACAAGGTGAGACTTGGCAACCCGAGTGTGACATGTAGTCCAGAAATTTTATATAAAGAGTTCAGAACAAGAATTCATACAGTCAGGACGGGGAAACAATAGTCTTAACATGCACAGACAGTATAGAAATGTAAATATCATAGGTATTTAGGTGTCTTTGTTTTTAAGTCTTAGCACCCTTTTTTGATCCTAAACACCATAAGGTAACTGCTAAAGCATTCATAGATGCATATACATACAGTATTACTTAATGAATAGCAGTCACACATTTAAATTACTCGCACTTAAACTTTGTGTGATGTAATGTAGAGGCTTTGTCTGTTGTGTTTGATCTGTGCTGACCATTTTACATAATTCATTTATCACTTCTGTTTCATTCCATTGGGTGATTAATTTGTCTATGCAAATCTGTCCTAAGCCACATAGAATTCACGGGTTTTGTAGACCAAACCAGCCCCTTGAATTCAGCCCCAAAGTAACAGAAAGCAGTTCAAGTGTTGCAGTGTAAATATAATGTGCTGTCAGGGCCAAATTTCATGAGACATTTGACCATGACGGGGCTGGGATCTTCTAACTTCCCTTAGATTCCCTGCTGCCAGATGGCAGCTCCAGGAAACTTGTTTCCCAAGTGCCGCAGAGCATGATTCAGATATTAACTGTAGTGTGTGGGGAGGAGGGGCTTCTGCCCCCTGTGCCATTCTCCTGACCCAAGATGGCCCCGGGGAAGGGTTGCGTGCGTACCGGTTACTGCATGTGCAGCCTGTGTTGGGAATGGGGAAGTAGGAAAGTTCTGTTCTGCTGTTGGAAACTTGAATCTGGATTCAGCTCAGAGAGTTTTGGTGTGTGATCTGCCATTCCTTACTTTTGAGCTGCAAAAGGCAGCCAGCTCTTCCTTTAGTCTTGAGTAGTCATTTTAAATGGGGTCCGTAAAGTGCCAATTAATGTCCTGTTGTTTTCTCCCTTCTGTAGGCGTGTCTTTTCTGTTTTCTATAGGGCCATTCAGAATGTCAGGTTGGACACCTGAAAGCTATAGTTCTTACACCACTTCCCCCAAAACAGTCCAATTAAATTCAGCAAGACTTGTCTGCAACCCGTGCTATGAAAACTGAAGCTCTGGTACCACCTCCAGATTGTTGATAAATAAAAGTTGTGTCCAGAATTATAAAAAGAAATTCCCCCTCCCAAACAAAACACTTGGTTTGATACTGTCTGTATGACACTGCCCCTAGCAAAATGCCTGTCATAATGACAGATGGAGCGAAGTAGTAGAAGCCCCTCCTCCTCCTCCCAGACAGGGAGAGCCAAGCCGCTCAGTGTCAAAGTGAATGGCAACCTATTGTTTATATCACAGAAGATAAAAGCAAGCACTGAGATATATTATAGGATGAGGGCTAAATGTCTTTCCTGAGCCTGGTGTCCCAGCCAATGAAGCTCCTTCAGTCTGCACAGTGTCTTCATATTCCATCCATTTCTGTATGTTGGTTATCCTAGGAGTGTCTGGCTTCTGTTTACCAGTCTGTACCAGGTCCATCGCCAGGAATATTTATCCTGGGGGGCTCCGGGGTTATTGGGGGGGCTGGTGGTGCTGGGGGGTTAATTTAAATTTAAAATTTAATCCCAGCGAGGGGAGTAAGATCGGGGGTTGGCCTCATTGCTGGCTGGGCGAGTCTTCTCCCTGCTTGCTAGCAGGAAGAAGACTCAGCGGCTGGCAGCATAGACCACGCAGTTGCCCCCCCCTTCCCCCACCAGCCAGCTGAGCAGAGAGGTGGTTTAAACTTTAAGCCCCCTCTCTGAAGTCACACTGCATCTGTGGCATGATTTCTCCATTGTATCCCCGGCCACGATGACCTGGCTACAGTGATCCATGCGATGGTCACCTCGAGATTAGACTACTGTAACGCTCTTTACATGGGGCGGCCCTTGTCACAAATCCGGAAGCTGCAGCTAGTGCAGAATGCCGAAGCCAGGCTTCTGATGGGCCTTCCTAAATGGGAGCACATCCATCCTGCGCTGAAGGCACTGCACTGGCTGCCAGTAGCATACCGAATCCGCTTCAAGGTGCTGGTACCTTTAAAGCCCTATATGGCCAGGGTCCGACATACCTGAGGGACTGCCTTTCCCCATATGTACCCCAGAGAGCACTACGGTCTGGGGCATGACATCGACTGACCATTCCAAACCCTAAGGATGCCAGGCTCACTGCCGCCAGGGCCTTTTCAGTGGCAGCTCCATACTGGTGGAATGAGCTCCCAGAAGAGATCAGGGCCCTGCGGGATCTTTTACAGTTCCGCAGGGCCTGCAAGACGGAGCTCTTCCACCAGGCTTTCAATTAGGAGCTGCCACTACCACTACCACCATCATCTGTGGCTATGGGTTGGCCTGGCCTGGAGATTGAGCCACACCATTGCTCGATGCCAAAAGATCACTGACTTTTTAAAGTGTTTTAACTTTTGTATATGGATTTATGGTACTGGGTACCGATAAATGTAAGCCGCCCTGAGCCTGTTTGCGGGGAGGGCAGGGTATAAATAAATAAATAAATAAATAAATAAATAAATAATAAAAAATTAATTTGTGCTGCCTCTGCGGTGCAACTCCAGAGAAGGGGTTTAAAGTTTAAATACCCTCTCTGCTCAGCTGGCTGGCAAGGTAAGGGTGCGTGGCCTCCATTGCTGGCTGCCGAGTCTTCTTCTTGCCGGCAAGCAGTGAGAAAGACTTTGCCAGCAAGAGTCTGCGCCTCCCCTCTCTTCCCCCCGCCTGCCAGCTCCTTGAGCTCCCCCACCGGGGGCGGCATGCCAGACTTCACTTTGGGTGGAGGGAGGAGGGAAACCTTGTGGGGCTGTCCCTTTAAGGGAGGGGGCGGAGTCCCCAAGAGCCCCACCATAGCTATGGGCCCGGTCCGTACAGACATATGTGCAGACGTCTCACGGTAAGTTGAATTCTGCAAGAAATTGCCAATGGAAAAAGAAGGAGGGGGGAGAGGACAATTGCGATGCCTTGCTCTCTCCCCTACCCCCCAAAATCCATACTGATGAAGGACTGGGATCAGAAGAAGTTCAGCTGTAACCTGTTCGCTCCCACACGTAGGGGGAAATGGGCTCAAAAGGGGTACGCTGTCCTGTCGGTTTTGTGTCACTAAGGCAACCACTGTGTGGAGGGGGCTCAGACCTGGGCTTCAGACCCAAGCTCCGGAGGTCGTGCTTTCTCTGTGCTCAGCTCCCCCTCCCCACTTCTTTGGCGGCCTCAGTGAGGAAAGGGGATGCCACTATTTCATGCCACAGGCGGGGTGAGGTAATTGGGTACTGGCTGAGGTTCCCTTGGCCTCCGGAGCGACCCTGCGGAATGTGAACTGGGCTCTGTAAAAGTGTACGCTCTGACTCACTTCCTGCTCAGCCGACGCAATCCTCCTGCCACTATTGGCCCACCCTCTGTTCTGTTTGCTGCCGCCAGCATCATTCAGTGGTAGGTATGCGACAGCAGAAGCATTCATTTGCCACCCTCGTTTGGGACCAGTTTAGGAGTCTGAGGGGGCTCTATTGGTTAAGTGCACGGACTCTAATCTGGGAGAACCGGGTTTGATTCCCCACTCCTCCACTTGCAGCTGGCTGGACGACCTTGGGCAAGCCGTAGTTCTGATAAGAGCTGTCCTTGAAAAAGAGAAGTTTCTGTCAGAGCTCTCTCAGCTCCACTTACCTCACAGGGTGTCTGTTGTGGGGAGGGGAAGGGGAAGGAGTTTGTAAGCCGCTCTGAGACTCCTTTGGGTAGTGAAGGGCGGGGTATAAATCCAATCTCCTCTTCTTCTTCTTCTATCATTGGCAGGGACTCCTTTCTTCTTTGCTCTCCCTCTTCCCTATTTAGCACATGTGATGTGCGCATAGGGACATTCCACTTAAAATACATGGAGTTCTACAGACAGATATTTAAGCGTGTACATAGCAAAATGGTTCACACACCAGTATAAGTAAGAGGTCTTATAGTAACAGTCAGATGTCAGTGAGTTATTCTAGCAGAGTGAATAATTTAAGATTAAAAAACTGCTTTGGTGCAGATATGCCTTATAATGTACATTGCTGCAATGCCGTTAATGCATGCCACAGTATGTGGGGGTGTGTGGGGGGGTGATAGGTATTATTGCATTAAGTCAAGGAATTTTACATAATTACTCAGCAGAAAAGAGAGGCATTGGTTGGTTCTTGTTTTGATTAACTGTGATGTTTTAGCTCATTGCCTGGAGAATTAATCAGTTGGTTGACTGAAAAACAATACTGAGTCACTTAATGTTGGCTTCTCTGCAAGAAATTCCTCTTAAACCCTGAAGGCTCCTGCTGCCTATATGGTAACAGATCCTTTCATGGCTCCAGGGGATTTACGGTATCATCCCTGTATCATCATTCAGTACAACCACAACTGGCAAGAAAATAATTCTACCTGCACATTCCCCTTTCCCCGCCTGCCTTGGTCTGTACACCTGCCCTAAAGCGGCTGTCTGTGTGGTCTGCAAGTTCTCTCTCCAGTGGACGTGTATGCGCACACACGCAAACACACACCCACAAAGCCCCAGCAGCAGAGCACGATGAAAGAAACAGGCAGTGAAGGAGACCGCCTGAGCCCAGAAGCAGCAGCGTTTCAAAACACTTTATTACAAATTATCGGTAGCAAACTACCATGTGCTAACGACATATTTCTGCTTCTGTTTTC